GTAACTAGAATTGATTTCACGGTGTTGACTTTTAATTGTGTGCTGTTCTTCCAGCGCTTGTTGATCCTTCCGAGGATTCGGAGAGCTACCTAACTTTCAACGGCCACATGGAACCAAGAATCAGCCTCCTCCAAGCCCCTTCGTCTCAGCGTCTGTGTCTTTCATGTCCAGACTCCAAAGCGGTAGCAGATGTTTGTGCTCTGGCGTCTAAGGTTTCGTATGAGAACCCGAAGTTCATCGAATTTGTCGTGAATCAGAATTGGAAGGTAAGTCCAAGCCTTGCACAACCTCTGACTCCATCAGCTTCTCCTTTGCAGATGCATCTACTAGGAACTTACAACTGTTGGAACGGTAAGAGGTCGCTATCCAGTTTCATCTGACGTTCCTCACCCTTTCATGCTACAGAGTTTCAGAAAAAAAACTCGACTCAAGCATTCATCTTCGCGGACCGGGAAACTGATGCCGGAGCCATCGTTCTTGCCTTCCGGGGAACGGAAGCCTTCAATGCATACGACTGGTGCACAGACTTGGATTTCTCCTGGTACGAGCTCCCGCAGCTCGGCCGTGTCCATCTCGGATTCCTCGAAGCACTGGGCCTGGGCGACAGGACCAGGATGCAAAGCTTCCAGAGGTTGAAGCAGAACATCTACGAGAACTCGAGGACTCCGTTGCCACAGACTCCAACATCTGGATTACCCGACTTTGTCCTCAGCGATGAGACGAAGCTGCTCGCATACGACCACATCAGCGCGGAGCTCGTCACCATCCTCCGGAACCACAGAAACGCAAAGCTCTACATCACCGGTCACAGCCTCGGCGGCGCTCTGGCGACGCTCTTCACCGCCATGCTCTTCTACAACCGGGAAGAGAATCGAGTCTTTTACAACACCGAGGACGACGATGCCAGGAGGCTCGCGGCGCTCTAGCCAGCCCCGCGTTGGAGACAAGAGCTTTGCGTCCTTCATGGACACCAGCTTAAACAAGCCAACCATGAGGTACTTTAGAGTTGTCTACAATAACGACATGGTAGCTCGAGTTCCCTTCGACAACTCTTTGTTTGGCTTCAAGCATTTCGGGAATTGCTGCTACTTCACTTACAACTACACCCTCCAGGTACTTTACTTCGAGACACTGCTCTCTGTGTAGGATCCATATTAACGTTCTGCCCAGATCCTTCCGGACGAGCCATTTCCCAATTTCCTCTCCCCGGTTTACGTGGTGCTGTCCCGGCTTTACGCGCTGTTCGAGCTCGTCCAGAGCTTCTTCATGAGCTATAGATACGGCACGGAGTTTAGTGAGACGAGGTTGTCCACTGGGAAGGATTGCAGGCTTGCTTGTGCCTGGGATCGCCGGGCACAGCTTGGTGAATTACATCAACTGCGTCAGGCTGGGGCCCGACCATCTCGATCCGGCGTGCCTGCAAAACACGGAGTGGGATAAATCCCAGTAAGCATCGCAACTTCGTACATGTCAAATAAAACGTACACATGGTGTCCTTCAGAAAATATAAAAAATGAACACAATTACATTGCCTTCAAAACTGAATGCACAATGGAATTCTCTGTATGGAGACAGGGCTATTACTGGTGAAAGTGCAAGCATGGAATGAAACCATGCAATTTATCCTTACCACACAGAAAGGAACCATAGACAAAGCATTGATGATCAACTCTATTGAGTTCAACAAAGGATGGTGGCATGACTGTGTGGCTTGGACTGCTTGTTGCATCAACTTGGAAGCACTCCTTGCACAAGTGGCAATCTTGGAGTGGAAAAATATTATAGAGTTAGAAGTTAAAGAAATAGAGGACATTTGATAAATGTTCCTGATGACTGTTGAACAACATTTGGTTTTTAGAGAAATGGATTGAATAGTGAACATTAGCCATGCTATCTAAACATGAATGGTGTAATACATTGGTAAAACTTTATATATTTTTTTAAAAATAAAAATAATATTACTCAAGTCTAGGCTATATCAAATTATTATGTATATATGTATATATGTATGTATGTATGTATATGTATATATATATATATATATTAAATCTCTCATATAGCTAGTGGCTTCTAAGTTACAATTGCAAAGTTCTAAATTAATATAAATCATAATTAAAAAAGTTATTCAATTTTTTATTTTTTCTATATATAAAATTAACTTAAATTTTATTTAAATTTTATTTTTAATGTCTATAATTTAAGTTCTTTTAATTTTTATTATACATTATGGAATTGTGTTTGATAAAATAAATATAGATTGGGGTAAAACTAATTCACTTACTGAGGAAGATATTAATATAATTTTAGGTCACATTAAAAGACTTGCACTAAAATTACATGAATCTCATCCTTATCCACAAAATTTTGTTGATACTAATTTAATAGATATTGATAGAGGAGGTGGTGTTATAAGAATTTAACATTTAGCTGGAAGTACTCCATATTATTCTACAGGAATTTTAACTAGAAGACCAGTTTTAGGTGGTTCTCTCCAAAAATTAATAAATGAAATAATTAAAAAGGTAATAAATGATTTATTGCAAGCACTTTCTAGTGAATGTAGAATTATGTCTAATAATTATCTTATTCGATATATATTAGTAACTCATTTGAAACCATTAAATTATTTAGAAAATATAAATATAGTTTTCAGATATTCTGAAAATTGTGATATTACTTTGACTACTTTAAGTGCTGGTTTCTCTTCAAATAATGAATATTTTGGAGAGTGTTTTTTAGATCTGCAAAATGATGGAAATTTAGTGTTATATACTTTTAAACGAAATGTATTATGGTCTCCGAATATGTATTTGTTATGACAAACCAAATTGTTTACTTTTAACTTATATTACAGTTGAAGATAATTGTAAACTGGTAAGCTACTTGACAACATATCCAAGCAGAGCATGGTGGACATTAGATTATTCTAAACATATTGGTTGTTTAAGCTAGAAAATAATTTGCTTTTCAAAATGCAATAATATTTACAAGAATTGAAGAATCCGTCCTCTTCATTCTTCTTGATCTTCAGAACTAGCAGCCAAGGGGGACATGACTAGAAATCATGTGGGCTTGCCCGTGCAGGTTTGAATCCGACCTTGATTTTCTTCATTTTCTTTTAATCACCTTAGCGAGGAGACTGAAGACGAGGGGCGGGATGATCTGATGGATGATGTCGGGGGGAATGATGAAGTGTTTGAAGATGATGAAGACTTTGTTTGCATTTTGTACAAGTAAAACACACAAAAGTAAAGAGACCAAAGTAACTAGTCCACATCGTCCTCAGTTCCTGGATCTCGTGTTTGATTATCACTTTTCTCCCCACCAAGTTCATCTCCACCACCGCCGCCTCTTGTATCCTTGTCATGCCGCTCGACATTCCTCCTCCTCCTCCTCCTGCCACCGTATGGCGTACATAGCTGGCTGGTAGAGATTCTCGACGCCCGCGTTGCGTTTGAAATCCAACGTCACCTTGAGCCGCAGGCCACGAAGCGTGTAGCGTTTAGTGTACACGTACATCTTCCAATCCGAATGGTGCCTCGGAGAAGAATTGCTCGCAGACTGAGGTTTATCAGCAGGTCATTTGTTGAAGAGTCCAAAGATTCTCAGAGTTGGGAAGGTTTTGCGTGTCAACCTAGGTCGCCTGTCTTCCATACTGGAGCACAAAGTCCACTTTTTTGTCAGATGGCGATGACGGGGCTCCTTTTCAAGTTAGCGGGGCCTTGTAAAGCGGCCAAGGTTCCGTAGCATCCTGTCCAGTATCGGTGCAACCTGCATCTCTCCTTTGCAATCACCTTGGAACGCAGTCGAGTAGGTGTTACATTCACTCCCCCTTAAACTAGTTTGATGAAAGAGCTCTTAATGGCTATTTACAACACTCCCTTTTTAAAGATGTTAATATCCTTATTAATTATGGATTAACAACTCTATTTCTACAGTAAATTTACTAATTTTTCCATTGTGTAGACTAGCAACTCCATTTCTACATTAAATCTACCAATCCTTCTATTGTATAGACTAGTATCCACCGTGGGACTGTGGTATGGGTGAATAACTATAAACATATCCACTATAAGACTATAGTACATGTGGATGACTAGAACAACTTAATAAATACCTCCTATTTTGTCAAATCATCAAAGGCAATCACAAGATCACATTGGTCAAAACATTGAAATCATAGAAGGCAAAATTCCTAATGTCTCCTAGATTCTAACCTTTATTATTTGTTTGATGTCACCAACATCTATTTCTTGATGCTAGGAGGATACATTGACTATAACAAAAAATAGTTATCATATTTTAGGGTTTGTGGACTCTATAATTAAAAAATTCAAACACTTGCCAGAATAATGTTTACTTCACACATATTGTATTTTTATATAGCTTTAATAATATTTTAAATATAGATTTATTTTATTTATATTTTATCCAGAATTATCTGTAAATTATTTCATAATAGTATAAAATTTAATATTGATTTTCTAATGTAGATTAATAAAACTAAAATTAACTTACTTTTTTTGCTTAAAGTAATATATAAAAACTTGTAAAAACTTGATATTTGTTTTTCACTCTCCCTTGAATGTTTTTTAAATCAATAAAATATAATCACATTACTAATAAAATTTACTCAGAATTTGATGGACAATAAAAATAAATACAAACAAATATTTGTGTTTTAAATATTTATTTTTTTAATAAAATCAGCATTATTGAAGCTTTGCAATTAAAATTTTAGATTTAGATCGCAAATATAAGTGAGTATTTTATATTTAATACGTTGGAGATAACAAAATATTCTTCTAAGCATTATACTTCTGAGAAAATTTGAAAACAAATAGTAATGTTTCAGAAGGAACATGATCTTGCAGCAAGAGCATTAGGCTCCACTACAAGATGGTGCACGTTACATCTCAGGGGCTTCAATCATCATTGTTTGATAGCATTTCTTATCAAGGACGCCAAAACCCTAGACTCCAATTTCCCAAGATGCCTGAATGCTAAGTAATAAATCATCAGAATGCCTGAGAGAATCGCTGCTCCAGCTGCTCAAGCGATGCACCGCCGCGCGCGATCTAGCGCAGGGCCGGCTCCTCCACTCCCAGATCGCATCCATCGGCCTGGAGCAGGACAAATACCTCGCCAATCTGCTGCTCCAGATGTATGGCAAATGCGGCAGCGTGTGCGATGCCGAGGAGCTCTTCTTCCGCAAGATTCATTCCAAGAACCGCTTCTCCTGGAGCATTATGATCTCGATCTACGCCCAGCAGCAGCAGCTCGATGATGCCAGGCACATCTTTGATGCAATGCCGGATGGAATCCGCGACGTCGTGCACTGGAACACGATCCTCACAGGCTACGCAAACAGTGGCTTCCTCTCGATGGCCGTCGCTAGGGCTCTATTCGACCGAATGCCCCAGTGGAGCGTGGTATCTTGGACTGCCCTCATCACAGTATATGCCCAGGGCGGGCATCTCGCGTCATCGAGGCACGCGTTCGATTCCATGCCAGAAAGAAACGTGGTATCGTGGACGGCGATTCTAGCGGCATATACCCAGCATGGGCATCTAGAGCAGGCACGGGGATTATTTTCCAGAATGCCCCTGGTAGACCTCGTTGCGTGGAACTCTTTGCTTGCTGGATATTCCCAGGACGGGAATATTGCTGCCATGCTGGATTTGCTAAGCTCCATGCCCGAGAAAGATTCTTTTACGTGGAGTTCTCTATTGGCAGGATATGCTCGGGCAGGGAATCTTGAGAAGGCAAAGGAGATCTTTGCTAAAGTTCCCGATGTGACCTCTTGGACGGCTATGATCACCGCTCATGCCCAAGCTTCGGAGATCAACGCTGCAAAAAACTATTTTGACAAGATGCCCCAGCGAACAAATGTCTCGTGGAATGCAATGTTAGCAGCATTTGCCGAGGTAGGGGATTTGGAAAACGCAAAAGGTATATTCCACAAAATGCCAGATCTAAGCATAGTGTCTTGGAACACCATCCTTTCTGGATTTGCCGTCCAGGGCTGTTTAGAAGAATGTAAAGACATCTTTGACAAGATGCCAGGGAATAATCTTGTGTCGTGGAACGCTGTCTTAACCGCATTTTCTTGCAAAGGGTATTTGGAGGAAACGAGGCAATACTTTAGTGCCTTGCCAGAACGAAACTTTATATCGTGGAACATTCTCTTGGGCGCCTTTGCGGAGAATGGCCATGCATTCCAAGCTTTGAACCTTCTCTCCGCGATGATCATGGAGGGATTTATGCCCGACGCGCTGACATTCATGAGCGTTTTGGGGGCTTGTATACACATTGGAGTCTTGATCCTGGCTCGGGATCACTTCGTATCCATGACGTACGATCACAGTATAGTTGCGGAGAGGGATCACTACGGCTGCATTGTGGATCTCCTCAGCCGCGCTGGGAAGCTTGATGAGGCGGAGGAGCTGATCAAAGCAATGCCCTTCTTGCCCGATGCCACGGAATGGGGAATTCTCCTTGGCGCTTGCAAGATCTACAGGGATGTCGATCGAGTGGATCGATTAGCGAAATTCCTGCTCGAGTCTAAGGCCGACAGGCATGGACCTTACGTCCTCGTATCGACGACGATTAGAAGCTCCATAGCCCCAATCTCCCGCGCCAAGAATTTAAATTCGAATTTAGCAAAAGATTCTAGATTCTTGTTATAAGCCCAAAAGCTTTGAAAGGATTAGGGCTCTTGCGCGGCAAAGCTATGGCGAGAGCGGCAACGAAGAGGGCTTTTGATGCAGGGCTGGAGGCCGCCATAACGGCTTACAAGTCTTCGGTGAAGAGAGGTGAGTACGGGCAGGGGCCTTTTGCGGTAGCATCTGGAATCAGGGAGAATGTTTACAAGGAAATTCGATCGCGGGAAGAGGATCCATGGCGCTTGAGCTACAACAAGAGCACATCCCAGGTGTTCTTGTATGGCGATCCCAGCCGAGCGCACGAGAGAGCCAGTCGATGGTTTGATGCCAAGATCGGCGCGTATGCCATAGAGAATGGGCTGGAGGATGAATTAGCCCAGTCTGGGGCGGCGACGGTGGATCTTCCAGGCGTAATCAAGGAGCCGGATTTCAGTCTCTTGCTCGCTCGCGATCATCACTGCCCAGCACTGGTGGCCGAGGTGGCATGCCACAACGAGAGCATGGCAGCGCTGAGACGATCGCTCCACGACTGGACTTGCCCAGGATTTGCAGCCATGGCTCTTGGTGTGTCGATTTCCAGAGGATCTGGCCAGGAGGGCATCAAGACAGTGGTGCTCAAGAAGACTTGTTGGTCGAGTCTTATTGAAGAGTTTGACATCGTCGATGATTCACCTGAGCTATCGATTGTTGTGGACTTGGCTAGCTTGGGAGATGGCAGCAGCAATCCAGCGCTAGATGGGAAGGCTATTAAGTTTGATCTTAAGTCTTTGCGGAAAACCATCCTTGCAGCAACCAATTAAAAAACAAGAGAGAACATAGTCCTCGATTAGAATACGTTGCGAATTGTTTTGTCCCAACGAACTTTAGCTTTTAACACGCAATTATGCTTTCAACTATCATTTCTCACGAATGTGGTAAATTCTTCCATCTTGGATCACGTCAAGAGTGCAAAGTTTGATCCGAGCTTCATGGTCACTCACAGGATCACGTGCGGAGAAGGTCTTCCAGGAGCTGCTGGAGCTTCCCGAATCGCAAGCACAATCCATACGCTGCTATGGTCGATGTTTATGCGAGGGCCGGGTTGATGGACGAGGCGGAGAAATTCCTCAAGGACAAGGAGACAGGTTTTGGTGTTATGAGCCTCTCGTTGCGGGCTACCTTTTGAAAGGCGACGCAAAGAACGTGAAGAAGCGACCAACAAAGCTGGAGTACAAGTCCGTGATGGGTTTGCTAGCGGCTCTGGCCTTGAGGAGAGACGTGGACGAAGCCGAGAAGGTGATGGGTCACTACAGCTCCCTGTTTGGAGAGGCCCCTGTCTACAACCAGCTGCTCAAAGTCTACATTGCTGCGGGCAAAACTCCGAAAGAACTCAAGGAGAGAATGCTAGAGAGGTTTGGAGCCCGGCGAGGAGACTGAGATGATGATAGACTGAGGAGTCGAGCTGACAAGAAGAGAGCAATCGAACACTTGTTGCTGCTCGTGCGATGCTCCTTTGGTACTGGTTGTCCAAAATCCTTTTGGGGCGAGGCTATTGTTACTGCTGCCTATTTACGCAATCGTCTTCCAACATCTACACTTTCCACTTCAGAAGAACTACACCGGCTAAATCTTGAAGAACTTGAGAGACCTCACAGCGAACCTGTAGGCTACTCTCGCTCTGGCCGGCCACTCTTTCCATCTCAACGTGCAAGAGTCAACAATATTTCCGGTCACAGTCGAGTCGTTGTTATTTTGCTGGTTCTAATGATGCTCTTGAGCCCAGAACGGTGTCTGAGGCGCTCACAGGTCCTCAGCGAGCCGCCATGGACTCCGAGTATCAATCCCTCATGCAAAATGACACCTGGATGCTCGTTCTAAAGCCAGCTGACAGGTCAACCAAATGGCTATTTCGAGTTAACAGGAACACAGCTAATCAGGTCGTTCGGTTCAAAGCCAGGTATGTGGTCCGCGGATTTACACAGATCCCAGGCCTTGATTTTACTGAGACGTACTCACCTGTCGTACGTATGGCTTCTATTCCAGTCTTGCTAGCTTTAGCAGCTCAATATGATCTTGAGGTACATCAGACGGATGTACGCCCAGAGTTCTTGCATGGAGATCTCAATGAAGAAATCTTTGTCCAGCAACCAGAGGGTTATCAATGTCGCCTCAAGAAAGCTTTATATGGTCACAGTTCAGGATGAAAGAGAATTCAAGGGAGAGGAACCCAATGAGAATGCGGAGCAGGAGAAGGTTGTGAGCCTATGCCGGATTCTCAACGCTAAGGCCGACACTTCGGAGGTAGGCAAGAATTGGATAGACAATGGAAATGTGATGTCACGGGACGTTGCTGCTGGTTGGATTCTTCACTGCAGGCACAACGTCCAAGCTCTAAAAGTAAACATTGATTTTTCTATAATGTTTTTCCTTGGAATGTTTGAACTAACTGTTGTATTTTATGTTCTTTGGCAGTTCATGAACGTCGTGAGAGAAGAACGCCTGGTAGAAATGACCTCGAAGCTATACATGCAAGAGATCTCACAGCTATGTCTTCAGCTGGAGCCATCAAAAGGCGAGGCTTTGTTCAGAAGCATGCCAGAGAGTTTGAGGACAGAGGAGGTAACCACGGCTTTTCTTACAGCTGTTGCGAAAGAGGACGGCGGAGAGATTGATGGACGAGCTAAACGGCTCGTTCTCCGTCGACGCCTTGAACTCGTTTCCACACATGTATCTCAGCACGACAAGCTGCGGGATACTTACTACAGGTTCAAGCAGAAAGGGTTGAAGCCGGTGCTGTTTATGTACTGGCAGTGCCGAGAAAGTTTTGAGGAGATTGAGATGGAGTTCGACACGGAGCTGAAAAGAACTAACTTCGAAGAGGCACACGGCTACTCAATCTGATAATGCGTTCCTATGCACTCTTAGGAAAGCGGAAGATGGTGGACAGGATGTGGACGCTGCTCAAGAGCGAACAAGTTGTTGCTCCCGACTTAAACAGCTACATCTCCGCAATCAAGTCGTTTGGTTTGTTCGGGGACTTGGAAAAGGCATATGAGGTGCTGGAGGAAGTGTTGCAAAAGTTCGAACGGATTCCTCAAAATCCATACATCTGGATCGTGGAAATCTGTGTGAGGCTCAAGATGATGGACCAGGCGGAGAAGCTCATGGAGAAGCACATCGGCAAGAGCTGCTTTCTTCCCTACAACTTTCTGGTCTCTGGCTACGTTGAAACTTCGCAGATCTAAAGCGCGCTCAAGAAGCTGGACGAAGCTTTCGAGATTCCTTTCAAGGACCGGAAGCTATTCTACAAGACAGTGATGGCTTTGCTCCCGGTGTTCGCCAAGAGGGGAGACACTCGGCCGAGAAGCTCATTTCCAACTACGGCTCCTGCGGTGACGTGGAAGTCTACAACGGACTGCTCAACGTCTAGTTTCTACAAAGAGGATGCCAACCAACTTCCTTCACATAACATAACATTGAACCGAACGAAGAGACATGGAGGCTCATGGACACACTGGAATCGTTCTGGGATCACAAGCCAGGACGCTGCACTGTCTGGAGAGTCGTGAATGGGCGGAGGATATCTCGGGACCAGCAAATGGCTCACTTGGAGTTCTCCAGAGAAGGAATAGATGTCAGGAACCGCGGCTTAATTCCAAAGAGCTAAGTATTTCATGCGCAGCAGTGACTGATCTCGAGGCAAGTTTTTCAACGTCTTTCAACCAAGCCGATGTTCTCCAAGTGGAGAAAATTGAGCGGACGATCGATCAAAACATCTGCTCGGGTTTCTCTACGGCAACCAGGAAAGGGAAGAAATTAGCTCGCTAGCTCTTTGTTCTTTTCAAAGCTTCTCACTATAATGAACGTCATCGCGCAGGCTCTAGATGAGAAAGCTGGGAAGGCCCCTGTGGCTCAAGGCTCGACGAGGCCAGCAACATCAGACATGGAGGTGATGCAAGGTCCCCAAGCCGCTCATCACTCATCCCAAGGACGTGATGGTCAAAGTCACTGCTTGCACTATTTGCTCCGGCTCTGACTCTCACGTCTACGCCGGAGAGATCCCCGACACCTCTGAAGGCCAGATTTTGGGACAATTAAGCCTTCGACCGGGGCGCAAAGAGATCTAGTCTATGGAAGACGCACATGGGATGGGCGCCATTGGATTCATGTTCATGCCACCGATGATTCGAAGCTCATGGAGCTCATCCACGGTCACAGGCACTCCGGAGCCTTTAGCTACGGAAACTTGGTTGGTGGCGTCCCGGGATCGCAGAGTTTGTCGACACCACAGACATTCTCAACGAGTTTCTTCTGGCGACGAGGAAGTGGGGGCGGGTGTCCGTGATCGCGGACTACTTTGGCTGCTGCAATTGATGAAGCACTTGACGCAGTGATTAAAAACCCTAGAAAAGGGTTTTTAATCCTTTTCTAATTCTTTCATTCTAGAAACCCTAGAATGATACAAGAGGTTACTGAGATTGTGCGCTTGGGAGCGGGGAGCTTTGCCACAGTTTACGTATGGCAATCGCGGAACAACGTGGCGATCAAGTGCTTGGCAGATGCCAGCCGCTTTTCCGAGCTGCTCGATGAGTTTGAGAATCACCAAAAGATAAGTAAGGCATGCCAGGGCGCAGAGAATCTCCTCTTTCTGGTGCCCAAGCCCGTCGAATTCTTCCCTTCTCTCGCATCACTGGCGGAGCGCCTGCGAATGGATTCGTCGCTGCTGCCAAATATACCTGCCGCGTACACGATGCAGCGAGTCTGGCCCGTCCCCCCTGCTCTCGCGGATTCCATCAGGGCCAAGTTCTTCCCTGCGCTCCACTCTAGGTACTCCAAGCCCTTCGTCGCACGGATCTACTTGGGTGCAAAACGCCAGCGCCTGGCGTCTCGATTCTTCAATGCCAATAACTTCCCGCTGGATGCCAATCGTTGCAAGGAGCTGGGGCTGCCGATCGAATCGCTGGCCCAAGAAATGGGTAGACTTCTCGCCAGGATCCACCACCTCGCAGGTGTTTTCAGCTTTGTACTGTTTCATTCGTGCGTTA